AGACCAGGCTGGCCTCGAACTCACAGAGATCTGCCTGCCTCTGCCTCCCGAGTGCTGGGATTAAAGGCGTGTGCCACCACCGCCCGGCTCAACTGCTAGTTTTTAGAGCCAGGAGATTTTATAAATATTCCCTGGTGCTATTTTTGATAAATAGTTTTTAAACTTATACAATTTTGTCACTTCTTGTTTTTTTTAATTATAATTGCCCCCAATTTAAAAAGCACTATTGGATTAGGGGTGGGAATGGGTATGTATACTTAGTGTGCATGAAGTAGAGTGGAGTCCTACATCCCCACCACTGAGAATCAACAATTCTAAGCCCCATGATGATTTTGAGGCTGTAAGTGACTGAGTACTCTGACGAAGAAGGCATGTGTCTAAGGGTTCACCTCTTACCCAGCAACCAAGATTGGGCCATTGCTGTGCTGAAGTATCCATCCAGAGATACTCTGTGGTAATTCTGGAATTCCCATTTTTTGATGAAGTGATTCAAGAAATTTCCTGGAGGCGGCAACACAGGGTGCATCCTCGTCCATTCCCCTGGTAGCAAACATTGCTGTGAATCTCATCGCCTTCCTGGCCTTATTGTCTTTTGTGAACTCGGCTCTGTCCTGGTTTGGAAACATGTTCGACTACCCACAGTTGAGTTTTGAGGTATGATTCTGTCGTTTTTTGTTTCTGACTATCTTTGTTTAAGTTTAGGAACCAGGTATGATAGCTCATGTCTTTAATCCCATCACTTAGGAGGCCAAGACAGGGATTGCCAAGTGTGGGCTACAGAATGAGACCTAGGCCCAGGAAACAAGTCATGAAAGTGTAGCAGCCTTTCCTAACCAACCATGTTGCACTCCCTCATACACTATAGGCAGACGTCGGTCACCCCCATCATCCCGCCCTGCACTGTCTTCTGTCACCCTCTTCCCCCAGAGCAGTCATTCATTCTCTGCTGACCTCTTCCCAAGAATACATGCTGTTTCTAACGACCCAGTTCTAACCCAATTCCTGCTTAGTGTGCTTTCTATGCTATGACAGGACACTTGATTGGGAAGCTTATAAAGAAAAAAGGATTGTCTAACTTTCTAAAGGCTAAGAATCCACAGTCAAGGGATTGTATCTGGTGAGGGTCACATGTAAGACAGAGAAGAGAAAAAGGCACATTCAAAATGGAAGGGGAACTGAGGAGCTGACCGTCTTTAAACAAATACTCTCTCAAATTAATTGATTCCACAGAGAACTAATGCAATATAAGAAAGACACTGATTTTTAAGGGCCATGTGCCCATTGATGCCACTACATGAGAATCGAGCCTTGGCACCTGTTTTCTTGAGGACTACCCACATGCTCTTGATATATAAAGACGGGCAGCTGAATGTAAGGGGTTCCTTGTGCCCAGAAGAGGCAGGAACACCCCAGTCACTAAGGGGTGGGTGGCAGAATTAGAGGCAAAGTGCTGTTTAATCCATGTCAACACCTCTGTCTCTGCAGTTCATTTGTTCCTACATCTTCATGCCCTTTTCCTTCATGATGGGAGTCGACTGGCAGGACAGCTTTATGGTCGCCAAACTCATAGGTTACAAGACATTCTTCAATGAATTTGTGGCTTATGACTACCTCTCAAAATGGATCAATTTGAGAAAAGCAGCTGGACCCAAATTTGTAAATGGCGTGCAGCAATATATGTCGGTATGTATAATTATCATACAAATGCATTGTGATTTGTTCCTCTGTCTGTCGGAAACTTGAGTGATAGTAGAAGAGAACAGTCCAAAACCTTGATCTTGTAGAGCTTATAATGAGCACAGCATAATTTGCAGTCATGTTATCTTGACCATGTGATATTTGTGTGGAGAAAGGAAGAGAGGGAAGGAGGGACAGAGGGAGGAGGGAGAAGAGGGAATTAAAGACTATAAACACAAACCCAGGGTCATATGAGCTGGGACTGGCATTGGTGCCCAGATTTATCCAGTGCCCTCTATGCTCAGAGTGGCGGGTACTAAGGTAACAACACCAGGACACCACTGGCCTCTGCTAGTCACCTTTGTGATATGGTAACACAACACCCAAGGTAGGCAACTTAAGGCAGCTCCTCTTGGCTCACAGTTTCAGAGCTTCTGGCTCTCAACCCCCTGGCCTCGTTGATCTTCTATACAAAGCAGTTCATCGAGGTGGGGATGGACTTTCACCACAAAGAAACTGGTGGGTAAAGAGAGGGGAAGAGGAGAGGACAGAGTCCCAAAATCCCTTCAAGGGCATGGTCCAGGGACCTACCTTCCTTTCCTGGACCTGACTTCCTGTCCTCACTTGCTTTTCTGTTGCTGTGATAAACACCATGACCAAAAGCAACTTGGGAAAGAGAAGGTTTCGTTCAGCTTACATCTTCAGCAAAGTTCATCACTGAGAGAAGCCAAGGGAAGGAACCTGGAGGCAGAGACCATGGAGGAACACTATTTACTGGCTGCTTTCGGGCTCACATTCAGCACCTTTTTACACAACCCACCTGCCTAGAAATGGTACTGCCCACAGTGGGCTGAGCCTTCCTACATCAATTAGCAATGAAGAAAATACCCCACAAACATGCCACAGGCCAACTGATATAGGCAATTCTTCAGTTGAGGGTCCCTCTTCAGAAAGTAAGGGTGTGTCGAGTAGATTTGTCCTCATACCTTCTGAAGGTTCCATCAACTCCCACCTTCAGCACAGAGGCCTGTGGGAGACACTCAGTACAGCAGGTCTTACCTTCTTGGAGCTGATAGTTGATCATAAAGGCCTCTTCTAGCATCGCAGGTTCTGAGAAAATGACTACAAATCCCTCTGCATTTTATCACCCTCGAAAGATAATGAGGCCCAATTGCCGCTGTGACAGGGAGGAGGGAGATAAAATGCCTCCGTCTGTGATGGAAACCTTGGTCAGTCACCCCATCATCATGCCAAGAGGCAGTCATGTCTTCTTAGGCTTTGATGGAGTGAGGAACTTAACTAGGATGAAGAAGTATTTGTAGCTGAATGACCAATTTTTTTCCCTCCAAAGATCAGAATCATCACATAAAGAAGTAAGAGAAATGGGCATTTCTAACCATCTCTGTCTCTCTCTGAAACAACACATTTGGAGTTAATGTCCCCAGCATTAAAGCTTATTGCCCAGTATTTAGATACTCACCCAGAGACCACCACTTCCTCCCTGGACTCCCCAAAACCAAACATGGAGTATATAAGTGGAGTGAGTGCCCCGGGCATCCTCACGTCAATGGCTTTGGCAGGAGCACTGCCCACCAATCTGACAGGATTGGGGGTCGTGGGTCTTCTGTCCCCACTGTTCATTTTTCAGGTAACCTGACAGTGGGACACGGACAGCTATCTTCATTGTCTGGATGCCATCTAAAGCGTTTGTTTCCCTGCCCAGAGTAAACAATAGGCTAAATTAACTGACATGTTTTCTACTTCCCCGTTGCCAGGAGAAAGTACTTTTGTTAATGAGCAAAGCAAGCTGCCAGTTCTGGCAAAACTAATTGGTTCTCTGAAAAGCCTGTTGGGAAGGCGGGGCCCCAATTGTAGAGATGATTCCATTTGGGAGAGAGTCCAGCTGAATGCAGGCACACAGGGTCCATGTGAAAACAGTTCTGCTATTATTGAGTCGCACTGGGAAAAGCAGTTACTCCAAATTTCTGAGCATCTTGGCTCACACACGGGAGACCATTATCTTCTTAGTACAGCCCATCTCGTTCCACTGCATAATCATTTGAGTTTGGGGGCAAAAGAAAGTGACATCATCCAGCCTCCTTGTCTACTTCTGATAAAACTATACACAGCCACGTCTACACACACCTCTGCCAGATCCCTGTCAGCAATGAGCACTAAAGTGTTAGATGTCTCCTATGGGGTCTGGGTCAAGGTGCTGCATATTTTCCTCAATCTTCTGTGTCCAGGGGCCTCTCAGGCCTCGTTCTTGGTGTGATGCTGATATGTGCATATGCCATACTTACTCTGATAAGCATATAGGTAACACTCTTTTTCCTTTTAGGATAAGTGACTTAGTCTGGGCCTCATCAATGGTGCCAGGCAGGTGGAGCTGTTTTCAGTGTCCACCAAGTATAATCATCCTGTGTTCACACTCAATATAGAGTCAAATGCTATTTGTGAAATGGAATCTCTCAGAACAAGGGTCAATCTGGAAACCCACTGTTTTATATAATGTGCAATGGCTCAAGGCAGTCCTCAGTTTGACCTCAACAGTGCTTTTACAAGGTTGGATATGGTCTACAAAAGCAGTGTTCTCCAGAGAAGCAGTGTGCTTCGGAGAAGTAGTGTGCTGTGGAGAATCAGTGTGCTCCAGAGAAGCAGTGTGCTTCGGGGAAGCAGTGTGCTCCGGAGAAGCAGTGTGCTGTGGAGAAGCAGTGTGCTGTGGAGAAGTAGTGTGCTGTGGAGAAGCAGTGTGCTCCAGAGAAGCAGTGTGCTCTGCAGAAGCAGTGTGCTTCGGAGAAGTAGTGTGCTGTGGAGAAGCAGTGTGCTCCAGAGAAGCAGTGTGCTCCAGAGAAGCAGTGTGCTCTGCAGAAGCAGTGTGCTCTGCAGAAGCAGTGTGCTCCAGAGAAGCAGTGTGCTCTGCAGAAGCAGTGTGCTCTAGAGAAGCAGTGTGCTCCGGAGAAGCAGTGTGCTCCGGAGAAGCAGTGTGCTCTAGAGAAGCAGTGTGCTCCAGAGAAGCAGTGTGCTGTGGAGAAGCAGTGTGCTCTAGAGAAGCAGTGTGCTCTAGAGAAGCAGTGTGCTCCAGAGAAGCAGTGTGCTCTGCAGAAGCAGTGTGCTCCAGAGAAGCAGTGTGCTCTGCAGAAGCAGTGTGCTCCAGAGAAGCAGTGTGCTCTGCAGAAGCAGTGTGCTCTAGAGAAGCAGTGTGCTCCAGAGAAGCAGTGTGCTCTAGAGAAGCAGTGTGCTCCGGAGAAGCAGTGTGCTCCAGAGAAGCAGTGTGCTCCGGAGAAGCAGTGTGCTCCGGAGAAGCAGTGTGCTCCGGAGAAGCAGTGTGCTCCAGAGAAGCAGTGTGCTCCAGAGAAGCAGTGTGCTCCAGAGAAGCAGTGACTCACCAATCAGCAGAAACTTCTGTGCTGGACCCTTTATTCAACCTGAGAGACAGTCACAGACCTTGCAGCCTCGAGTAGGAACAGAGCCAGCCCCACACGCCCCCTTTCGATAATTCACTTTTGTCTTCCCACTGCCCCAGGAAAGGCTACTCACTCTTGCATTTCCAAATGGACACCCTAACATTCTCCTGGGATTGTCTGAGCTGAAGAACAAAGGCAGGCTAGACTGTAAGGGAGCTCCTGTTACAGCTCAAGAATTCCTATTTACTGATATAATTAATTTCCTTTATGGCCATTAAAAGACAACACACACCCCCAAGAGCTATTGGCAACTAATGACGTTTTGTTTTTCACTGTAGATGACTGTATTAATCACTTTTCATTACTGTGACAAAATACCTGAGATAAATCAAAAGGTTTACTCAGAACCCCTGTTTAGAGGTTTCATTATGGTTGCTGGTAATGGTAAGGCACGTGCATGGTGTAGGTCAGGAATCTAAAGAAAAGGTTCAGTATTACAACAAACCCCTTCCTCCAAACCCATCGAGCTATGAATCCATAAAGGGAGCAATCCAACTCATGAAGTCAGAGCCTTCATAAGCCAAATATCTCCCGAAGACCCCACCTCTAAACACTGCTACGCTGAGGACCAGGCCTTCAACGTGAGCTTCAAGATCAACCGTAATACTGACTTTTGTGTGTTTGAATAAATAGACTGCATTAGCATCCATGCCATCCATCATGCATACCACTTTTCCTTTTCTGGCAGAGCAATGTCCTATTTTATGGATATTCACAATTTGTCTATACATTCCTCTAATGAAGAACATTTGAGTTCTAAGCAAATTTGCACAAACATTCATGAGCAGTCTTCCTGTGAGCCTGCGTCGTTACATCTCCTGGGGTGTAGACACAGACAGTGACAGCTGAGTGAGACATCATCTCATTGACGGGCTCTTCTTTGTAACCGCTGGCTTTGCCACATTCTCAGGAATCTGTGGGCCCTTTGGATGCATCATGTGATGCATTCTATTTTCTTTTCAATGATAATTCAGGCAGCATGTGTGACCTCAGTGAGACTCCACTGGTTTACCAGGAGAGCACATTGTATAACATTCCTAAAGGCAACGCATAAGCATCCTAGATGCTTTACATCCTGACATACTTAGTATAGGCAATTTCTGTTTTTTAATTTTAGCTATTTCAGTAACTGACAAAATACCTAAAATAAATCAACTTAAAGAAGGATTTATTTTGGATCTCCATACAGTGGTTGGCACCTCCCTGGTGACTAATACTGAGCATCATTCCATATGCTTATTATCCATTTGCATATCTTTTGTAGCAATGTATCCAAAACTTGGACAATAGTCTTCTTTTTTAATTATAGCAGCTCTTTTCATATTCTAAGTAAGTCTTTTGTCAGATAAATATAGTGTAAATTTTTTCTGAGACCAACTTATCTCCACCAACTAGTACTGTGCCTGTTATAATACAGCAGGTGACCAAGTCATATGGAATATTAGAAGTTATTAATCAACAGGAAGTAGCATTTCTAGATGTCAAATCCACTAATTCCCAGTCTGTTGTCAGTGTTCCTTGAATCTACACCCTTCTTTTCACTCTCCCTCAAAATTAAAGAGCACAAAGAAACCATCAATGGTTATTAGATAGTCTACAGTGTGTACTTATTTATCAACATTAATTTTGTAGCCAATGAAGCCCAGTTGAGGTGTCAGATTTCTGAAGGTGTGTCAGATCATGTGCACATCAGTGTTTATGCTTGCTTACAGGTTCGTTCAGAGACCATTGCGACTTATGCCCTCTGTGGTTTTGCCAATTTTGGTTCCCTAGGAATAGTGATCGGCGGACTTAGTAAGTGAAAAGAATATTCTTCAACAACAGTTGTGACTTTATGAGTCCATCCTGCTCTATAATGTTGTGTCAGGGAAAATGGCTCTTCAGGAATAAAGTCCCCGAGGGTCTGTGTTTTGTCCTTGCTCTGGACTACAGTTTTCTTCTGCACACTCTAGTATTCAAGATAAATATGTTCAAACACACAGATACTTCTCTCAAGCCAATATCACCAGTCTCTTGGTTACCAATGCTCATAGATTTATAACAGCTATCTGAAGGGGAATTCTGGGACCCATGGAAGTTTACTATAGAAGATGCTGTCATTTGTTACTGATGTCTGCCATGGATGTAGACATAGATGGCAACAGCTAGCTAGACATCATCTTGCTGATTGATTCTTCCTGGTAACCCGTTGACATTGCTGTGTTCTCAGTGCTCTTTGGGCCCTTTGGATAATTTTACGACTTGTTTCTTTTCAATTGACCTGAGAGTCCAGTCACAAAAGAGTTATCAGAAGCTACAAACTTGGGTTTCTAATCGACCTAATCCTCAAATGCCTCTTTCTCTTCCAGCATCCATAGCTCCATCCAGAAAGCGTGACATTGCCTCTGGAGCCATGAGAGCCCTGATTGCGGGGACCATTGCCTGCTTCATGACAGCCTGTATCGCAGGTATGACATTCATCCTTCACGCCCTGGGTGCCCACAGGACAGAAGCTTTCAGGGAGGCAGGCTTCCAGGCTGCATGTGCAGCATATGCTGCCTCAGAAAGCTGAGAACCAGAGCAGGGCTAAGCACACTGTAAAGTGAAATGCGTGGGATGGAGTGGAGAAGCTGAGAACAGAAGGCGAGTTCTGTAAATTATGACAATAAATGGCACTCTGTTCCTTTCCAGGCATACTCTCTAGCACCCCCGTAGATATCAACTGCCATCACATTCTAGAGAACACCAATTTACTCAGCAACACAACGGAAGTGGTGTCTTGTTGCCAAAGTCTGTTGAACAGGTACTCTTTTTTATTATTCTGTGATCTCTTAGTAATAATAAATCCAACTGTTGTGTGCCTTTTCCTGGGGGAGATGTGGGCAAGTATCTATTCACTCCAGGTAGGGCACGGACAATAGACAAAGTGTACAGTTCCTCAAAGCCCTGCCTGTTCGGTAAACCAGTGAGATTAGTAGGCTTCCTTCCAGAAGTGTGGGTAGCCCCAAAATGGCAGTATCAATGAAAAGTCTCATGCCAGTAAGGGTGACGACTTACTGTGCCATAGGGTCCCACCTTCAGTTAACCTTCCATGTGATGCATATTCTAGCACCTCCCAAAATTGCATGTGGTTGAGAGGTGGGAAGTGGTAGATGAGATCCCAGGTAAAAGCTTCTTGGCCTTCCTCCCCCATCTTCTTATAGGGAATGCTAATCGATCTCTTACTATTACCATAGACCTAGCTATCATGGTATTACTGCACTTACTTGGTTGCCATGACGACTGGCCAAGCTTATCTCTGCTCCATGACGGTGAGCAGAAAGGCAGATAGTGTGATCACGGTTATCTTAGGAGCAAACGGCCATACTACAGTCCCAGCATAAAGACCACACCCATTTGTTTTCATGGCTTCCTTAACTGTTTATTTCAACTGTCATGTGAGAAAACTCACGGTATTTCTGACAACCCTGTGCCTTTCCTTTTCAGATAAGACTAGAAAACTAGAAACTAAAACACTTCCCTAGTGTTTGGCATTATACACTTTGTGTGAACAAACTCGCTTAAACTTTGCAGTCACCATGTAAGTTAGGCTCAATCAACTTTGCCTTTGCATTTGACACAATGAAACCTTGCTGAGGCTGTGTCTATTCAAGCAACATTAGCCTCGGTATTATCAAGACAAGAACTTCAGGCCTGTCCACAAAGCCAGTGTCCTTAATTATTGCTGCAAGGATCTCGCTCTGGCCTCACCTCAGGTCCACAGTCCTAGAGATCTCAGTTGAAAGAATTTGGATGACACACAGAGTGTAATATTTATTCCAGAGTAAAGAGGAGCAGCCTCAAGGGATGAGAGTGGACAAAGGCCAACCTACATTTTCAGATAAGCTTTGTATTTATGCTATTGTTTAAAATCCTTTCCTGAGGAGTGTTTTCCTGTCCGGGTGATTGGCAGGTCTGTTTAGGTTAGTTCTTAAAGGGGAGGGCAAAGCTTTGTTCCTTACAGAAACCTTCTAACTAGATAGAGATGTCAGGATCTCCTAGGCAGTTTAAAATGTCCTGTCTCCACCCAGGGACAGAGATAGGACCAGATCCCACTCTTGGACCCACAGAGAATGTGTGACAGAGCAGATAAGAACTAAAGAAAGAAATCTGCAAACACAGCCATGCTTCCCCAGGAATTGCCTTTCTTTGGCAGATAGCAACAGAACCCTGCTTGCTACCTCGGCCTGCAGACCTTCTGTCTAGAATTTCGTATAGAATTTAAAAATTAAGGTGGTCCAGTTGTGAACTGGACCCTTCCTTTGCCTGCCACTGATTGTCACCTGCAAAATTAACAGGGACACAGGAAGTAGGGGCAGAGGCTGATTTCGTGGGATGGACCTCAAGACTGCTATTTTCTAACTAGCTACCTACCATTTTTCCTCCTTTTACTGCCTCATTTTCAAAAGAATCCTGGCGATTCTGGCAGCATGGTGAAGGGCAAAGGCGGATGAGAGGCTAGGCTACCAGTGACTCTTGCCATGCATCTCCACCCTCTACAGTTTTGATTTGCAAGATCAGTGCCCTCACAGTTCTTATTAATGTACAAGCTGTTGGTTTTTGTTTTTTGTTTTTATTGAGATTTTGGTTTTGTGTGTATGAGTGTATACGCTTGTAAGTCTTTGCACTGAGTGCATGCAGTGCCCATGGAGGCCAGAAGAGGGCATCAGATTCCCTCAGGACTGGAGGTTCAGTTGTGAGCTGCCATGTGGGTGCTGGGAATTGAACCTGGGTCCTCCAGAACAGCCAGGGCTCTTAAATTCTTACTCATCTCTCCAACTCCTGTTCAAGTGTTTTGTTTTGTTTTGTTTTGTTTTAATAAGAATTGATCCTATCCGGTCACTGCTATTCTGAGATAAATAGGGGGAGTCCTCAAGGCCACCCAGAATATTGAGAACCAAAACTAACTAACCCTGAGGGGTCTCTGCCTGGGAACAAGGAAATCAGCTTCCTGCCTTTACCATTTTCAATGCATCACTGTCCCTCCTGTGCCTGCTGAGGCCCAACTAACAGTTTGGTTCTGCTCCCACCAGCACTGTTGCCAAGGGACCAAATGAGGTCATCCCGGGAGGGAACTTCAGTTTCTACGCTGTGAAGAGCTGCTGTGAGTTGTTGAACCCATCAACACTGAACTGCAGTTGGGTCCCCAATACACCATGAGCTCGACCATGTATCCAATGGGATTCTCTGTGCAGATGCTGGATTTTCTGCTCTGGAGGGCATAGAAAGCTATTGCCACAAGTTATGAATCCACCACGGACTCAGCTCTAATGGCAAAGGAGGAAGAAAGTCTGGAGTGTCTCCTCCCTCCCTTCCCTTCTTAGACCACCCTCTCTCCATGGAGAACTTCTATGATGACGTCCCGAACCGAGGTGTGATCTTCAGTCCAAATAATGTTCTCTTCCTATTTTCAAGGATCTCATGAGAAAATATATGTGTGTGTGCATACATGTGGTAGCCCCCCAACAACTGGGCTATGACTTGGCCATACCTCTTACAGTGCTCTAAGTATTTGAGGGTGATATGATTTAAACACATCTCAAGTAAGGTCATCCCACCTTCGCTCTAGTTATCTGAAATACCTTCAATTTGACTCTCATGGGAAAGAGGGCTGATCTGCAATGACCCACTCATTGGCTACCCTCTTCTTAAATCAAGAGTCCTTCAGAGAACCATGCAGGCCACATGAAAACCAATATAAGTCCATAAACTTAGAGACTTCTAAGCAATCAGCTTATATATACCTATGTTGCAATAATTCCCCCAAACTTCAACATCTTACAAATCTTTTCCTCGTATGTTTGAAATGTTCGATTTCAAGATTTAAGTCTCATAAACTTCAGAGACTTGTAAGTACTCAGGTCATATCTTTTTAAAGTTAATACTGTATTTTCTTAAGAATATCTTTCATTTGTGCTTTGATAGTTTTACACATGCATATAATGTATTTTGATCACACCTACCCCCAACTCCCAGTCTCCCTTCCCTCTCCTCAGACATCCCTCAACACGCCCCATCTCACATTCATGTCTGCTCTTCGTTCTGTAACTCACTGAGTCTGGTGCTGCCCGATGGAATGTTGACTTGATCTTGTGCAAGTAACCATATCTAGAGTGAGTTCAGGAAGGCAGAGCCGAGTCGTGTTCAGAAGACAGGATTCCACAGCACGCTTCCCCATTCCCTGGCTCTTCTGTTCCCCCACCCCCGACCCCCGGCCTGTGTGCTACTCCTGTGCCTTGAGGAAGTTTGTAGAAACCTCTGGTTTGGGGCTGAGCACCCAGTAGTCTCTTATTCTCAGCACATTCATCAGCTTTGAGTCTCTGCATTGCTGAAAGTGGACTTAATCTATGCTGTGTCCATTTCCAGTATCCAGGCCAAAGCAGCAGCCCCTGTAGGGCTCACTGACCTTAGGGGAACATGCACAAACAACATGACAGCTCCTGGAACTTCTGCCAGGAGCCAGATTTGGTGGGACCCTCCTGTAATCCCAGCACTTGGGAACTGAGACAGGAAGATTATGAGTTCCAAACCAGCATATGGTACCTAGCAAGACCATGTCTCCAAGCATAACAACAGAACTTCTGCAAGGTTGTAATATTCTTCATTTCCACTATATACTATGAGCCAAAGTAAGTCCTGTGACAGACATGATATCCGCGGACATAAATGAATTATCCTGTCACAGGAAGAGAATGGTGAACACTTCAGAAGATAATACAGTAGACTACCAAGGTGCCTGTTATCCATGTCTCTGTCATTGGGTAGACTGTATTTATAGGCCTGTAACTGTGCAATTTTGTTATAGTCCTGATGACAAGACTGTAAAACATTAGTCCACAGTCAAAAAGCCATGTAAGGACCAACCATGAAGGAAAATCAATGCTGACTGAGATGGGAATGCCTTTCATTGATTCTTCCATCAATCGGCAAGACACCGGCATTACCACACTTGCCGAACAGACACCGGCATCACCACGTGCCTCCTGAGCGTCAGCATTTGGGACATGTCAGCAGGGCAGTGCAGACACCTCTGAGTCAAACAGGTTCTCAAAAGGAAGAGACTCCATGGGGAAAGGGTGACACAACACCTTAAATGATTTATTGTTTCCCCTTCTGATCATGCACAAGAGCAATTTTTTAAAAATAATCTACATATAAATAGTTGGAATTATTTGTTGTTTTTGCTTTACATTTGGTGGGGGAGGAGGAGTTACATGACTTCTTATTTCTGAAGTAAATAGATCAAGATAATTCTAATTTTTTTATTATTTACATCAATCTCAGTCTTTAGACTTTAGGAAAATCCATTTGCATGTCGTTGTGCTCCATAAGGTTTAATTACAGCCTACGGTTCCACATCATGAGTGTCAATTATTCGTATGTTGTTTGTTCTTTGTCTGCTGTAACTACTGTCCTCTCTGATGCTTTCTAACTCACTGACTTTTTTCTCTAGTGTATTTTCCTTCCTGAGAATCCCTGAGAAGACCTCTTTGCTGCTTCTAGTGTGCCTGTCTTCTGTCAAGCTGTTTTTTAACTGTTGTCTTTGGTCGTTATGATTCCTTGAATGTTTAACTCTTCTCTGAGTCTGCTGGCTTGCTTCAGGGAAATCAATTACTACCATGTTTGTCAACAGGTTTTCCTCTTCAGTTTGCAAAATAGACATTTGTAATGAAAACAATGATTATGTTAAAAACTGGGATAGAAAAACCTAACATATATAATAGTTTTATATAAACATAACTAAGTGTCTTTTTCTCCACTCTGCCCACCCTGGTTCTCTGGCCAGCAGAGTCACAGAGCTCACTGGTAATTGACTAGTACACACACCTTTCTTGTTTACACCAACACACAGAAGCACGCAGAGCATTGGCGACTACAAAAGAGCCAGTATTTGCAGGCTACCTTCCACTTTTTTCTTTCTTTCTTTCTTTCTTTCTTTCTTTCTTTCTTTCTTTCTTTCTTTCTTTCTTTCTTTCTTTTTTTTTAACGTCTGGATACACACGTGTGTGGCACTCTATAAGTGAGATAATATAATGCCAAGGAGGGATGGAGTTAGACATTCCCTAGAGTTCAGATCTTGAATATTTCCCAAAGGTCTATGTGTGGAAGGTCTGTTTCTCAGCCTGTGACACTGCTGGAAGGTGGAGGATATTTTAGGAGGCCGAGCCCACTGCAAAGAAGTTCGGTGCTGGCAGTATGCATTTGAGGGGGGTACTGGGATTCCAATCTCTCCTTTTTCTATGTCTCTACTTCCCAGTCACCAGAAAGTAGGACAGCCCCTTCCACTACCCACCTCTACCATAATATACTATGTTGCTGCAGACACAATACTGGAAATCCAATCTATCATGGGCAGAAACCTCTGAAAGTGAGCCCAAATAAACCTTTCTTCTAACCTTAGAAGTCAATTGGGCCAGGTGGTCTGCACAGATGCATTCTGTTTTCTTTCTGCTTGCCTCTGCTCCACTGTCCCCAGGTCATGTAGATATAATCAAGTTAGATCACCTGATAAAGTGGCCGCTGTCACTATGCAGCCCTACCTGGCTTGGAAGTCACTACGTAGACCAAGATGGCCTCAAATATGGAGGCCTACCAGCCTCTGCCTCCTGTGTGTTGGGATTAAAGGTATGGTTGCTTTGCCTGGCTCTTAAGACACATTTTTTTAAAAAAAATATTGATTGTTTGAGAATTTTGTTCAACGTGTTTTGATTATATTCATCTCCCTCCCCCAAGTTTTCCCAGATCCACTTCCCTTCTTTCCCACCCAACTTTGTGGTTTGTTTGTTTGTTTGTTTGTTTGTTTGTTTGTTTTGAAACACACCAAAACCAATTTGTACTGCCCCAATATTCCTCAATGAGTGGTCTTCCACCGCGGCCTGGCCAACTCAATAGGGGTCACACTCTTATCAAACACTGGTCTTCCCTCTCCCAGAAACTAACAATTGCCAGTAGTTCCATGGCTAAATGTGGGATTTTATGCTTGAGTCAGCTAAAGGTAGGCTGTGATACCCGCCTTCCCCTTCCAAGCTGTTATGATCAAGCCACACTTTAAGAAATTAAATCTGTTCTTTGGCAAGTTTACACATGTGAGTGCTTACCCTCTGTTTCTGACTACAGTGTGTATTCTTTATTAAAATACATATCCATTCCTGTCTAGAAAATGTGTCTGTCCCCATGCTGGTCATCTCCAGCACAATTCTGGTTTGCTACTTCAAATAGCATGTGTACATGTTCTTTACAAACCAGTGCCTTCCTATTCTTACAACAGTGCTGTCTCATGGAAAATAATACCATCTGGGTGTGGGGGTTCATGACTACATTCCCAGTGCTTGGACACTGAGGCAGGAGAATTGTCCCAATTTCAAGACCAGTCTGAGCTACACAGTTCTAGACCAGCCTAAACTACAGTAAGACTCTCCCTAAAAGGAATGAGATACAAACAAATAATATGTAATTTAAGATTCCCAATTAGCCATCTTGTTAAGAAAGAAAGAAAGAAAGAAAGAAAGAAAGAAAGAAAGAAAGAAAGAAAGAAAGAAAGAAAGAAAGAAAAGAAAGAAAGTAAGAGAGAGAAAGAGAAAGGAAGGAAGGGAGAGAGAGAGAGAGAAAGAAAGAAAGAAAGAAAGAAAGAAAGAAAGAAAGAAAGAAAGAAAGAAAGAAAGAAAGAAAGAAAGAAAGAAAGAAAGAAAAACAGTAAGGAGTAAGATTAATTTAAAGTATTTCAAGGAGATGTTTTATATTCCCTTATCAAACAAAGTCTTTAAGATGCAGTGTGCATATCTCAAGCTTGGTGCTGTTTGAGTTCCTCTCACTTCCACAGGCGCAGAAGCAGCAGCTGCTTGTTCTCACAGTGTGTCCTGTACCCGCCTGCTAACCATTCTGTGTGCTCATGTGTCTAAGGCCTCAGTTGGTCCATGCTGTGACATTTACTTTGGAAAATTCTTCAGACTAAAAGTTCCCAAAAGCCACAGGACACCAAATAAAAAGTTCAACATCAAGTGTGGGATACCTGCCTGTAGTCAGATCTTTTCGTCAGGACCACTAGCTCCCCAATAATGACACAGAGACTTATTATTAATTATGAAAGCTCAGCCAATAGTGTAAGCTTGTTTCTAACTAGCTCTTATAACTTAAATTAACACATTTATATTAATATGCTTTTTGCCTTGTGGCTTTAGTACCTTTATTTTGTACTGCCCATGCTTCCTCCATGTCTGGCTGTCAACTCCACCTTCTTTCCAGCGTCCTCTCTGCCCCAAAAATCCTGCCTTGCTATTGGCCGTTCAGCTTTTTATTAAATCAATCCGATTCACACATCTTCACAGTGTAAAAAAAAAAAAAAAAAAAAAAAAAGATTATTCCACAACACCTGCCTTACAGTTGTTTAGGGATGTCCAGGAGAACCCCATTGTCTTTGATGACTTTGCTCACAGGACATGGTACTGACTTGAGACTTGGTACTGACTGGGACGCATCCTCCCTGCTGGCCAGCTTTTGTGATACCAGAAGGCACCATGCAGGCTGCTGGGGGAGAAGATTCACCAACAACTTTATTCACTGAACCCTGAAAGCTGCAGTGGTGACTGGGTGGCAAAGTATGCCCATGACGCGAGAGTGACACAAAGATTATGGGCCAATCAGCTGCTCCCTGGCTGGATTGAGGCCTGCTCCGTGGGAAGAAGTATTTGCTTGATACTGTAAATCTGGCCAAGAGTCCAGGACTCTGGAATTCATAGACCCCCAAGAGTGAACCTACTACTATTGTTTTCTAAATGAATAGTATCCCACTGTCTTCTAAGTAGCCATCTCTCTACATAATATAAATTAGTATATCTCTCAGACCTCATCAGAGAAGTTCCTTTGTGCACTGGACAGTGGTTAATGCAGAAACTCACAACTAATCAAGGTGTAGAAAATAAGTCTCTTCTCAGCCTTAGAAGAGAAATTTACATCATACTGTTGCCGGAGCGCTTCTCTCCAGGTTCCCCAAGCCCCGCAGTCCCACAATCCACATATAAAATAATCACTCAGACGCTTATATCACTTATAAACTGTATGGCCGTGGCAGGCTTCTTGCTAACTGTTCTTTTATCTTAAATTAACCCATTTTTATAAATCTATACCTTGCCACGTGGCTGGTGGCTTCCCAGCGTCTTCACATGCTGCTTGTCCTGGCGGTGGCTGCAGTGTCTCTCCCTCCTTCTTCCTGTTTCCCCAATTCTCCTCTCTCTTTGTCCCGCCTATACTTCCTGCCTGGTCACTGGCCATCAGTGTTTTATTTACATAGAGTAATATCCACAGCATCATACCCTTTTCCAAGGCTCAAGGAGCATCATGGAGATCGGCTGCGCTGGCTGGTGAGCGGCCAATGGTGAAGGTGCAGCCTCAACAGCAAAGAACTCCAGAATTAAGTACAATGAAATTAAGGTGTAATGAAAATACATTGGGTGCATGTGTGATATTTTCAGAGATTTAAAAAAAAATAATTTTTTAATCTCCAACCTTCCTTCAATTTGTCTTTACGTTGGTTTATTTTTCACTAATCTGAAAGTGCCTATTCATACACGGCATTATGGCTCCAAATGTGAGTGATTCCCAATTTTATAAATAAACCCTCTATCCCTGGGGAAATCTTAGCACCTCAGCCAAGAATAGACTAGAGTCATGAGATGCAGATAATTTTCTTTGTTTTCCCCCTACATTGGTAAAATCAACATATCCACATACCTGAGTGACAGGTCCCTGTAACTATGCAGAGTACTAATATGCATTCATTTTGCAAATATTCCCACCTAATTGCTCTTAGATTTCTGTACTTTAATTAGGCTGCTAGGGAACTCTAAATAGCAATGATGTGCCTTGCGCAGAAGAGCTGATTCTCAGTTCCCACCCCAGATGATTTTCTCAGGCATAGGTCTGTAGAAGGCATTAAAGCCAACAAAGACACAGCCCATCAGAAAACCATCAGAAAAGACGACACCAACTGGGCAGGGCTGGGAACTAAGAAGGAATCATCTAGTTCCGCTAAGCTCTGTGGTCCAATGAGCTGGCAGGGGTCCTGAGAGAGGTCACTTTCTGTGGGTTGTCTGTTTGTTTTTAAAGATTTATTTGGTTTTCTTTTTCATGTTGTACGAGTGTTTGCCTGCATGTCTGTTTGTGCACCACATGCATGTCTGATGCCCACAGGAGCCAGAAGAGAGCACTGGATCTCCTGAACTGAAGTTACAGGCAGCTGTGAGCCACCATGTGGGTACTGGGACCTGAACCTTGGGAAGAACAGGAAGTGCTTGTAACCATTGAGTCATCTGTCTCTCAACCTCGGAGAGGCCACTTTTTACAGGCTGTTACTAACTTTGTTTTTAACCTCAAGCAAATGAATACATTGACTCATTCTGTTTCCTGCTCTGAAGACCATACAAGCTTCTGATAAAAAGTCTGTTATCCTTTACCTCACACTAGCCATGTTACTATGGGCCGTTGCAGGGAGTCCGTCCAACCCTGCTCATTACCGTCTATGCTGTGCTTCAAGAAGCGCTGAGAAGTAAGTCTGTTCATATCAGGTCAGCCCTTCTAAACTATTGTGCATTTTGCAAAAATGGAAGGACAGTGCTTGTACTGGTTTACGTCATAAGACATAAAGTACAGCCCTCTGAGAGAGGGGACCTCAGTTGAGACAATGCCTCCATATGATCAAGCTGTGAGCCAGGTGTGGTGGCGCACACCTTTAATCCCAGCACTCAGGAGGCAGAAGCAGGCAGATCTCTTGGAGCTTGAGGCTAGCCTGATCTACAAAGTGAGTTCCAGAAAAGCCAGGGCTACACAGAGAAATCCTGTCCTCAAAAAAAACAATAATAATATAAGATCAAGCTGTGGCCAAGCCTATGTGGCATTTTCCTAATTAGTGATTGAAGTGGGAGGGTCCAGCCCATTGGGGTGGTACTACCCCTAAGCTGGTGGTCCTGGGTTCTATAAGAAAGCAGGCAGAGTAAGCCATGATGAACAAGCCAGTCAGCAGTACTCTTCATGGTCTCTGCATCAGTTCCTGCCTCCAGGTTCCTGTCTTGTTTGCATCCCTGCCCTAACTGCCTCTGATGATGAACTGTGATAGGGAAGGAGGGTTCCAGTGACCTTCACAACCAGCAGAGTGACAGCGGGAGGCAGAAACTGTGTTGATTCAAACTTGGGGACCCTCTGTACTCACTGGTTTCTTTGAGAGATTTAAACGATTCCTGGATTCAGGAGGCCACCAGGAAGGCCAGGGTGCTGATTCATTTTCATCAACTTGACACAAATCAGACCCACCTGGGAAGAGGGAATCTCTATTGGGAAAGTGCTCCCATCAGACTGATGTAGACAGTCTTGGGGACATTTTCTTGACTAATGATTGATGTGAGTGTGCCTGTCCCCTGTGGCCAGTGCCACCCTACGCAGGTGGGACTGGGCTGCATAGAGGGCAACCTAAGCAAGCCCCGGAGAGCCAGACAGACAGCAGCCTTCCTCCACAGTGTCTGCATCAGTTCCTGGCTCCAGGCTCCTGCCTTGAGTTCCTTGCCCTTGCTTCCCTCCATGATGGACTGTGATCTACTAAGGTGAAATAAAACCCTTTCTCCCCAGGCTGCTTTTGGTCTGTGTTTTATCACAGCAACAGAGACCAAATTAAGACAGCCAGTAATGATTAGCCTCCAAAAGGAGCAAGACAGAACGCCGCAAGGTTCCTTCATGCTGAAGGGGATGTGGAAACTGTCTCCCACAAGTTTGAGAAAAATCATTTGGCTTTGACGTCATATGGATATAGTATGCGAACAGTAGTGGGAGTGGGGAAGAAACATGAAAAGCAGTTGTTTGAAAGTACTATGGAAAAGTCACTGTGCATGCGTACTGAGCTCTGCTCGGTAACAGAGTCTGCCTCCAGCAGCCTGTGAGTCACAGCGTGCCACCAGCTGAAAATTGTGTTATTTGGTTGTTATAAAAAATTGTTCCTGCTTATCTGGAAGATGGACCAGTTCTGTAACATGTGTGTCTCATTAACATTATCTGATCGAACACAGCCTACAATCCTGTGACCCCACCACTGAGAGGCTACAGCAGGAGGATCATGAGGTGGAAGCCAGCCTGAGCTACACAGTGAGACTCCACAAAAAGAGAAGGGAAACAGACAGCAAAGAGGAGAGAGAAGAGGAGAGGGACTGGGGGAGGAGTGAGGAGGGAGGGAGGAAGGGTGAGGTAAGACCCTGTAGCCCACCTGGCAGGAGCATCTCACAGCAGAGCTACGCGCTCCCCTTCCATCCATTCATCAGTCAGCCATGGAGAGCAGACTGTCCAGAAGGTGCGGGTTTCCATGGATACCGAACCAAACAGAAGGAAACAATATATTCGAACCCAGGAGAGGTCCTTTGTCGAAGAGTGACTTGACTACTGTTTCCATAGCAACAGACTATGGAGTCCTCCAACTAGAGAGAGGTGCAGAATGTGATGTGCTCAGGGAGACTGCAGCTGGATACTCAGGGTTTTTGTTTGCTCAAATGCTACTAAGTATTCAGAAGGAATCCAATCAGAATTCTATTTAAAGCAGGATGAGTGGAGGTTGCTCTGCCCTTCCTGGTCCTCTAGAGAATATGAAAACGAAATTAATTTTGTCTCATGTTCTTAAATTTTTATGTTTTTCCCAAATGTGTGTCTGGACACCATGTACATACAGTACCCACAGAAGTCAGAAGAAGATATCAGATCCCCTGGGACTAGAGTTACAAATGGTTCCTAGGAAGTGAATCTTAGTCTTCTGGAAGAGCAGCCAGTACTCTTAACTACTGAGCAATCTCTCCAGCCCCTAAATTCATTTTTAGACAGGGTCTCACCAGGTAGTCCTTGCTGGCCTGGAACTCACAGTGATCCACATGTTTCTGCCTCCCAAATGCTGGGATCCAAGGCATGTGCCACCATAACCAGCTGGAAATGAACTCTCTCTCTCTCTCTCTCTCTCTCTCTCTCTCTCTCTCTCTCTCTCTCTCTCTCATTCTTTTTTATTTTTATTTTTCAAGACAAGGTCTCACTATGGAGCTCTAGCTGTCCTGGAACTTGCTATGTAGACCAGTCTGGCCTTGAACTCATAGAGATCCGCCTGCCTCTGCCTCCCAAGTGCTGGGATTAAAGGTGTACACCAACATCACCCAGGGGCTACCTACTTCATAGAAACCTGGGAGTGGTCTGGGAAGGCCAGACAGAGGTTCAGGTTCAGGGGGACTTCCCAGGCCCTGTGCTGGGCTACTCCAGCTGCACTGGTGGGAACCTACTGTGATCACGGCTTTATAAGATGCTCCTATGAAAGTACTCAGCTTCGTTATAGGAAAATATTAATAACCCTGGGGCTGGAGAGATGGCTCAGCCATTAAGACCACTGGCTACTCTTGTAAAGGACCCAGGTTTGATTCCCAGCAACAGACGGAGGCTCATAACAATCTGTAACTCTGGCTCCAGGGGTCCAACACCCTCTTCTGGCCTCCTCAGGCACTGGTACACATGTATAAATGCAAAAGTTCATACATTTAAAAAATAAATAGTTTAAAAAACACTAACAGCCAGGCAGTGGTGGTGCACGCCTTTAATCCAAGCTTGGGGGGCAGAGGTGGTGGATCCCAGCCTGGTCTACATAGTGAGTTCCAGACAACAAGGGCTGTGTTGAGAGACCCTGTCTCCACCCCCCGCCCAAAAAAAATCAGCTTTATCTAATATGTATGTATGTGAGTATTTGTGTTGCAGGGAGAGGACATGTGGATGTGTATGATGTATGTGGGCGGGTACATGCACACATATGCCACTGCCTGTATGCAGAGAGGGAGTGCAGCCTTGTGGAGTCTTTCACTGTAGGCTCCAGAAATCACTCAGGTCACCCAGACTTTCACAGCAAGCTCCTTGACCTACTAAGCAGTCTCACCAGCCCATTATGAAGGATTTCCTCCACTAAACCACCTGTAAAAACTCACTGGGGAAATGACAAACCAGGTTACCGTCATCTGACTCAGGCATTTTCTAGAATTTTAACTTAACAGGGTTTCCTTGTGTCTTCAGCCTTTATAATGCCAACATGAATTCAACAAGAAAAACAAAGACCTCTGAGTGGTTATAATCTTTAGGTTCAGTGCAGTATGAAGGGGTCCCAGTTCACAGAGATCCCACCAATGTAACAGCAACAGCAGAGTGGCCAGTGTGCATCTAAGTCCTTGATTATCTGGTATCTATTTATCCAGTCAAAGGAAGGCTAGCAATTCCATCAGCAAATGGCAAAAGCAGAACTCTTTGTCCTACTCCCATGGCTTCCCATGTGTGCAGGGTGACCAGCTGCTCCACTGTGGCAGCTAACTACGCGTACTGTTCTCAGCCCTGCTCGATCCTCTAACAATACATCCTGGACTCTTTCCAAATGAAAGATAATTTCCATTACCTTTCAATAACAAAAAAAGACCTTTTTCATTATTTTGAACACAGCATATGTCTTTGTTATGATTTATTTAGTAGCCCTTGTTTATATTGCATCCATTTTTCATTTCTACAAAATGCTGCAACAATAGCCTCTGCACACATCACTCCGTAAGTGGCTCACCAGGGCTCATGCTACATCTCTCCACAAGTGTCAGGAGTGGAGGCGGGAATTGAATCTCCAAGTTGTGCTTTATGCAGAAAGCCCGTCCCCTGAGAAGGTGGCCGGCTGATACTCCAGAGCCAAGGCCTTACCATCTCATCTCCAGCTGGCAGTTCTCACAAGGGAGGAGAACAAAGGCAGTTAATCAACCAGGAGCCCCAGCTTGTTCCGGGGTCAGGTGGCCTCAGGTTGGCTATGTCCCCCCTGGAATTCATGATGTCCACGGTCTGATTGTTGCCTCTTTCCTGTCTTCCTGGACATCTGGGCTCAGGCTCTTCCAAGACTATGGGGTCTGTAGTACCTGATAATACCAACTCCCCACACTCTTCCTAGTCTCCCCTGGGACACACACAGGGTCCTTTCTACAGATGTCTGGAGAACTGTAATCATCCTCTGGTCTATATCAACTTCACGTGTACGAGTTCACCTCTTGGAGATGTTGTGGAAAATAGACTATTGAAACTTAGGACATAATAATTCATTATTTCAAAAGATGTTGCCCTCTGTGAAGATTTAACCAAGTAACATCCCCACCAGCCATCAACAGTGCTGTCTTTTATTGAACTTCAAAGATTTTTTTTTTTTACCAAATACAAAATACAAAAGAACAGCATTGCAGTGCAGCTTTAATTTACTTTAGTTAAGTGAGGTTCTGCATCTCTTTGTATGTTTATATGAGCCATCTGCAGCTCATCTTCTAGAATATTCAATCTATCCCTCATCCATACCTCTATTAGGTAGACACGCCATTTAGCATATGATAAAGTTTCACATGCTGGAGTTTTGTGGGCTTTTCTGTTCTATTTCACTGATCTATCTATTCTAATCAGCATTAGATGTATATTTATCTATCAGTTTATCTATGTACTTGTCTATCTGTCATTTATCTACTATCTGTCTGTCATCTCTCTATTTACCATCTGTCTGCCTGTCTGTCATCTCTCTATCTACCATCTATCTGTCTGTCATCTCTATGTTACAGAACTAGCCTTAGGAATTAAGTGAATTCAGAATGTTGGGTTCACAGAAGCATTCATACAGTGAACTTCAGGGGATCAGCACCATGGTACCAAGCTGCAACAATGATTCTTCGTCTTCTATGCTCAAAAACCAGGCATGGTTAATTAATATTTCACAGAGTAAAGATCTTGTAATTCACTCCTTACCTATCTCCCAAGCTGCCTCAGTGAATACAGTTCACTCCCTTCCCTAAGATTCATGCTTCACAATTCCCGCTGGCCCAACTCGCACACACCTGCTACCAACATTACTAATGTCCTATGTTCTTTCTTCCCACCTTGTTTCTTTCAGGCTCTGACTTCAACAGCTTTGCACCTGAGAAACAACAGAAAGAAAGGAGTTGGGGGGTTGGGAGGGAAAACTGTTTCCAGGGCATTTGGAAAACCAAAGTCAACTGTAGCATCCTCCTGTTGCTAGGATACAGGTAGGCTCTGTACAGAGTCCCTAGCCTGGAAACATATAGATGGGGACTAGTTTGCACCAGTTGCCATGGTGAGAAGGGATGTTTTCTCCATGCCCATTGGTTCTTATGATGTCAGGAGGCCAGATCTGCTGCAACAGTAAAAGTGCCTCATCAAATCACTACACTTTAGGGTCACACTCAACTGAGCACATAAGGTCTTGGTGAGGAAGAAAAGAGAGTGCCGAACTCTTCTACAACTTAGAAAGTAAAGTGTTTGGAGAAAACTCTGTCTCTTTAAATACCTGCTTCTATACCATCCTCAAGCTTATACCACTTTGAAATGTTAGACTTTGAGAAGTTAGCACCTGCTAGCCCAGCACTTGTCAAAATGTTATCCCCATGCCATCTCCAAGCCAGGAGCTTTGCAGGTAGAGGAGAGATGAAGTGTCTGCAATTTTTGGAATATTGATCTTTTTAATTATGTAGGGACAAATTAATTTCATTATGAAGTTGCTTTTATATCATTATCTTGAGTCTGATGCTGCCTCCTGTGAGCTTGGAGTAGGCATTCTTACATCATTTCATTCACTCGGGGCAGAAAGGTTACTAGGAGGCAGCTTGCCAAGGGTCACACCCCAGTTCCACTGTCTGTCACCTAAGTGGCCTTGTGCAAGTTACTTAATGCCCCAAGTCTTAATCATCTGCCACAGGCAGACGCCAAGAACCATAGTAAATAAAGCGTGATTTGTGACTGACAGAGTTTGGTGGTCTTCTCAAAGTTCAGGCTAAGCTGAAGAGCCAGGAAACAGGCATCTCCAGCTCCAGAATTAACAAGACTCAGCTCAGGAGCACAAAAGTGCCCCATACTTAGCCTCTGCTCCTGCCATCCACGAACCCACTGAGCTCCTTGGATCAGGTGCATGCCAGCACTTTACAGTCAGTATGAGACTCTGGTCACAAACAGATCCACCACAATCGCTTCAGTCCCCAAACCTGGAAATGCCCGTCACATACTGCTCCTGTGTGAACTCAGCCAAAGGCCGCCTGCTGCAGTGACGGTGTGCAGTGCACCCCACAGCTGGCCACAAGGTGGCAGACTGTCCCCAGTGAGGGCCATGCACTCTACCGTCACTGGAGAGAGCACGCCTTTACTCTGGTCTTGATCCTGCTTCACATCTGATATACAAAACGACAAGCTAATACTCCAACTCACATCAGCCCAAAACCAAGTTAAAATCCTGTAAATGCCGTCCTTTTGTCTAATTGATGACTTGTGTTCAAGACAGCGGAAGACACACTATCAGCCTTCACACACAGCCATAGT